CTGATCCATTCTCACCAAGTGAGGAATGATATTGTCTAGTAGCTATAAGTTTAGTGTAGTTTTATTGCATCAGTATTTTATCATGAAGATTTTTTCTTTCAATAATTGCTGATCATATTTACTGGTACTTTGTTTTCTTCATTATCATGCTTGAAAGGTGACTGGGTTACTTACTACTTACCCCTGATATCTGGATTATTTACTACTTACCCCTAAACTTTGAGCTAGTACTGACCTCTGAACTCTGCATTACCTTTTACTAACCCCTGCTCTATGAATTACTTACTACTAACCTCTGATCTTTATATTACATACTACTGACCCCTGCACTCTGTGTTTCATACTATTGACCTCTGAAGTGGGTTTCTTGCTTCTGATCCCTGCAATCTGTGTTAGATACTATTTATCTTTACACTGTGTATTACTCTTTACCCCTGTACTGTGCATTACTACTGACCTCTGAACTTTGAACCACTTACTCCAAGCACCTGCAGTGTGCATTACATACTACTGATCTCTGAACTCTGGTTTAATTACTACTAACTCCTGCACTGTGTTTTACATAATATCTGTCTCTGCACTCTGCCTTACCTACTCCTGACCTCTGCAGCTTGAGGTACATACTACTAACCTCAAAACTCTGCTTTACATAGTCCTGACCCCTGCCCACTGCATTACTTAGTAGAAATGATGTCTGAACTCTGCATTATGTACTTATGACCCGTACAATGTGCACTACTCTTTACCCCTATCCTGTGCTATACATTCTACTGACCTGTGAACTCTGCATTACTTAAACCTGACTCCTGGATTCTGTGTTACATACTATTGAGCTCTGTACTCTGCTTTACTTACTACTGATCTCTAAAGTCTGCATTAGTTACTACTGTACCCTGAATTTTTCAAGCCTTCATTATTATTTTCATTGGTAGGTTATTTCCTTAGAAAGAGCTGGTGAACTTTGAATTATTCCGTGTCTTTCAGGTGGATCCCTAGGTCTTCAGAGCTGCTTTTTCCCGCGAGCTGCAACTGTCTGGGCAATGATGTTGAAAACTGCCTATAAATGGGGAGACAGTGGGCTCAATTTACAAATATATTTTCCTCTTTAAAATTTGAGATAAAATACCTCATAGTGTTTGTCAAATTTGTTTTGGCAATTCACAAAAAAATGCTACTAATATAAGGCATGCGGTATTTCATTGAAATGTGCGGTATTTATCTTTTTTTTTTATTTCAATAAATCTTTATTGGGTATTGTAGAAAAACATACAAAAACCGTAAGTAACAGTATACATTCAACAAATATAGAAATACTGTAGTGTTAAAACACGTTTCCAGATTTGCATCCTAAATATTGGTTGAGTGCATGGCCAGATCTAGGGGGGTGCTGGGGTGGGCTATGCCCCCCCATATATCAGTTGTGCCCACCCAGGCATCCTGTGGACGATGTCCATCACTTGAAGCTGTTTGCAGTGGCTGGTGGCATCTATCAAGCTCAGTGTCTGTGACACGGCCCAGCCAGCATACTCCCCCTCCCCTTCCTACATGGACAGGAGAGATCGATATGCACCTCCTCCTCCCACCCCTCTCCTGGAGTCTGCCCTGCCCCTCATGTCTGCCCCGCCCACACTGCAATTCCCAGCAAGGGCCATACTTGAGAAGATGTGTGGGCGGGAAACATGAAGCACTGCAGCCAACAACTACATGGTGGCTGCAAGATTGAAGCCTCTGCCTGAGCCACCAGACCAGTGTGGAGTGAGTGAGCTGAGCTCTGCCCAATGCTGAACTCTCCCCATCTCCTTCCCTTCTCTCCCTTTCTCCCCCTCCCCCTTCATGTCCAGCACTCAGGGCAAACTTTAGTACTATTGGGTATAGCAATCTGCTCGTTGGCTAAACTGCTGGGGTTTTAACTCACAGGTTTGTAATGCTTCTGTTTTAACACTTTTCTGCCCATCCACAGCATGGCTTTAGGGCCCTGTTTACATGAGCTTTGGTCTCTGAAGAGCAATCTGCATTCAGATTGCTCTTCAGAGAGCATTTGGCAGACAGTGAGGAGGTGTTGTTTCACCTCCTCACCACCTGCTTTAACCCCTAGAACCCCACACTAGTGCACTGGAACCTCATACATTGCTCGCAGTTGTGGGGTGCTTGCAGATGTGCTCCATTCAGTTAAATGGGTCAGCAGGCATTGTGCCCACAAAATGCAACAGAGTATATCATTCCTGCCACAACCACGAAGCAAAACATCATAGTGGCAGCATGTGTACACACCCAGCCCTGTGTTTGGTTTGGCCCGAACGCGGCGCAACAAAATGGCAGCGGAATTGTAACGGGTTTCCTTGGAACCGGACACTGAAGCATACCCCCTATGATGATGTGCGGTTAGCACGAAACGCGTCAGTGAAGGAGCTACAGCGTCGTGACATCATGCCGCAAGCACCATGTGGGTCCATCTTTATACTCACCTCATGGTCAGTGTTTTGTTTTTCCTCATGTCACACTGCTTACTCGAATAAATCCATTCCTTAAACGGTGTCACGCTATTGGCCTCCTTTTTTCTTTTGGCTCTTGGTGAGCTACCAACTACCCATAGAGCCACTCTTAAAGGGGAGACTGAATCTGATTGCCAGCAGGATTAAGTGGGGTGAGGAACACCTGGCCAGACCAGATCCATGTATATGGGAGCCGTCAGCAGGTCCACAAGAGAATATTGTCTCTAAATGCGCAGTCATACTGTGCATCTGGTGAGTGCACAGCCTTCACTTTTCACCGGTCATGTCATCACGGCTTGGATGGAGCACTCTTCAATGGAGAGAATTTAATCTCCCACATTTTCACTAGGACTATTCCTATTTGATTACACTACTTGTCACCCTGGTAGTGACGGAATATATGTGATCACGAAAGTCACTGGATTTTATGCTATTTTGGCACTTTGTCACTGGACACTTTATCTACTTGAACCATATATTTATATTGGATGCCTATGATCAATGTGGCACCATTGTCACTAGACACTTTATTTAGGATATGATTTTAAATATTTTAAATATTTTAGATTTTAACGCTGCACCACTTTATGTATTTTGAGTCTTGAAAGGGTATTTGGTATCCTTTTGGTGCTTTGACTGCTGTTTGCTTTTAGCGCTCACTTTTTACCATATTTTATAAATTTATAGACAGTTTGTAAAAAACAGGCAGTTTTCTTTTGTCCATAAATGTTCACAGACAGGAGAAAAGTGCCCATAAAAACCCCCTTGCCATGGGCTCTGAACTGTGCATGAACAGTAATGCAGCCAGCCAATTAGAGAACTGGGTGTGCACCTGTGCAGTGACATCACGTCACTTTTTAGGCATGGCTAATATTCACACACCCCACCACGCAAGCTGAGGCTAAGCCCAGCAGTGCATTGATTGGCTCGCTTTGGAACTGTGTATGCACAGTTCAGAGCCAACAAGGGCATTTTTTCTTTGTAAGCCTTTTCCTGCCAGCTGCCCACCAGTGGTTAAAGTATGTTTAAAGGGGTCACTCTGACAAACTCTGATGTAAGAAGGGGACTCTGCCAGAATCTTATGTAAGGACCACTCTGCAGAGTCTGATGTAAGGGGACACTCTACCAGACTCTGATGTAAGTAGGGAACTCTACCAGAATCTGATGTAAGGGGACACTCTGCCAGACTCTGACCAACTCTGGTGTAAGGTGGTGGCACTTTGGGGTCACTGATGTGAACATGGCACTCATCCTAACTGTTGCACTCCATATGTTGTTTTGTATATTACTTACACCTAACACCTGTACTCTGTACATTATGCATTGACATACAGTAAATAGACCTGACCAAGGTGTTCGTTGTCTCAACAGTTTCTGGTTTTAATGAAATTCTTCCTTATGGTAGGTTCAGTGAGGCAGTCTATACATTAGGTGTTTTTTGTTTAATGGCAGGGTTCCCACGTGGATGCGGAAATCACTCCCGCTGAGGTATTGTGTTCTGACAGTGGAGAGACTAATCACTTAGAACTGATAAGTGCTGCCAGCTATAACTGGTGGTGCTGATCGTGTGGAAATTTTCCTAGAGGCTAGTTGTACAGAAGTTGATTGGTACACTGCCCTACAAACGGCTGATTCCTGCCTTCTGTTCTGCTAAGCTGAACCCTATCCTCTGACCTGTTGACCCCCAGTACACTCCGCTATTGATTCCTGTTTTTGTACAATGCCCTGCAGGCCTCATATCCTCTGCCCCCCTGACGTTTTTTACTGCACCCACATATCATACTGGCTCGATCCAGCCCTGTTTGAGTGTACAGCATACATTTTGACTGTTTAACCATCTTGATATCAACTAGGGTTTAAACAACACACAAACAAATGTGGTCAGAGTAATGTATAGCGTAGTCCTGATATAGAATTGGTAGCTAGCTTTCTTTCCAGTTCTGGGTGGGAGGTTATTCAAGAAGTAGAGAGCCATGAGTACCAAGTCAGCCAGGGTTGCCATAAGTCAATAATAGCAGAAAACTTTTCCATGCTGGACGCAAAAAGTATTTTGTATGTTCCATGAATGTGAATCATTTGGATTACTTCTCCAAGGTCTGGGACTTTTGGGTCTTTCCATTGTCTAATAATATTGATAGGCGGGTTGCTAGCTATATATGTGATATCAAAGTTCTAATTATAGGAGGGGTAGAATCCATTTCTAGGGATAAAAATGCCATACCCAGAGTTAATGATATTTTCAATCCTAAAATATGAGTGATAAGATTGAAAACCGAAAAGGCCAGAGTTTTGGGCAAGAGCATATAATATGTGTTAGAGTTCCTGGGCCCCCACAATTTCTCCAGCAGTCAGAAGATATTTCAGAAGAAAATTTAGATATACAATGTAGAGTTTGATACCAGTGTAATAAAATTTTTTGATTCATCTCTCATAGATTCACACACTCATGGTAGCAAAGCCATCCAGAGCAGTGTGCTTACAGTGAAGCACCAACACACCGCCCCCCAGTAAAACACTCTCAGCACACAGTTAACCCTTTAATCACCCCTCATGTTAACCCCTTCCAGCCCAGTGTCATTAGTACAGTGTCAATGCTTTTAGTTAGCACTGATCACTGTATTGGTGTCACTGGGGATGTCAGTGACACCAAGTCAGTTCCCTCCAGTGTTAGAATGCCTGCCACAGTCCCGCTATAATTCGCTAATCGCTGCCATTACTAGTAACAAAATAAAAAAAATCCCAGTATCTATACCTCTATTTGTAAACGCTATACCTTTCACGTAAACCAATTAATTTACAAGTATTGGGATTATGTTTAGCAAAGACATGTAGCAGAATACATGTTGGCATAAATTTATGATAAAACTTGATTTTTAAAAATTTTTTACTGGACATGTTTAATAGCAAAAAGTCAAAAATATTTTTTTTTTCTCAAAATTGTCGGTCTTTGTTTTTTTTTGTAGCACAAAAAATAAAAAACGCACAGACGATCAAATACCAAAAGAAAGCTCAATTTGTGGGAAAAAAGGGCGTACATTTTATTTGGGTGCAGCATTACACGACCGCGCAATTGTCAGTTAAAGTAACGCAGCGCCGTAACGCCAAAAAATTGGTCTGGTCAGGAAGGGCAAGTGGTTAAAAGTTGCTATGTGTCCTGATCGAGATTATTTCCTATTGGGCTAGTTTACCTAGTTTGCTCCAAAAAGAGTTTAGAAAGGGGGTGTAATTTTCCTTAGCAAAGTCATCAGCCCTGGAAGTAACAGTAATACCTAAATAGGTAATCCCTCTATCTTTCCACACATAGAGAAAGGTATTTTAGAAGTCTAGATCTAGAACATATGATTTAGTCTCATTCACTTTATATGAGACATTCTTTTAAAGAGTTGTAACGCTCAATGTACCGAAGCCAGTGAGGACTGCACATCTGTAAGCATCAGTATGATGTCGTCTGTGAAAAGACTAATGTGCATCTTACCTCCTACTGAAAACCCCACTATCTTAGAATGCAAACCTATATATAAAGCCATAGGTTCCATTAGTAGGTTAAAGAGAAGTGGGGAGAGAGGGCACCCCTTCCGTGTTCCATTGGATATGTTAAATGGAATTGACAACATAGTTTAGCTGGATGAAATATAAAAGGTATTTTGGCTTTAGATCTGTGACCTCGAACGCGGTTGGCTAAGATTTTCCCTGCCCTATTACCAACTGCATAGTGTTACATTTTTAACCTTCTGGAGGCTTTTTCAAAATCACCTAGTAGAATTAATCTCAGATTGTATCGTAATGTTGTCAGTTGTTCGGATAGAGATTTAGAGGGAGTGTTCTTATTTTGACTTTCTAGCAGTTGGATTTTTGTAATGGCATCTTGTATAAGCCGCCACCTCTGCCTCTTAGCCCTTGACCCTAGTTTGATAAGAATGCCCCATAGAAATGCCTTATGGGAGTTCCAAGCTACAAACAGATCTTCAACAAATGGTACATTAGTATCAAAGAATTCAGACAAGCTTTTTTTGCAGTCTCTGGTCATCTCCTGTACTGTGTCTGCAGTCTCTGGTCCTTCTCCTGTACTATGTCCGCAGTCTCTGGTCATCTCCTGTACTGTGTCTGCAGTCTCTGGTCATCTCCTGTAGTATGTCTGCAGTCTCTGGTCATCTCCTGTAGTATGTCCACAGTCTTTGGTCATCTCCTGTAGTGTCATCTCCTGTACTGTGTCTGCAGTCTCTGGTCATTCCCTGGTCATCTCCTGTACTGTGTCTGCAGTCTCTGGTCATCCCCTGTACTGTGTCCACAGTCTTTGGTCATTTCCTGTACTGTGTCCGCAGTCTCTGGTCATCTCCTGTACTGTGTCCGCAGTGTCTGGTCACTTCCTGTACCGTGTCTGCAGTCCATTGGTTCAGAATATTTTTTTTCTTGTTTTTCTCCTCTAAAACCTAGGTGCGTCTTATGGACAGGTGCTTCTTATGGAGCGAAAAAAACAGTACTTAAAAAGTTATTATAAAAGGAATCACATAACAAGCAATCATCTGTCTGCTGCCCTTCATCAGGGAGGTCATCACTAGTTTAAATGCATTGCAACAGAATTGTATCTTAAATCTTACAGACATCATCCCTTGACTCCTCATCTGTCAGTTATTTAAGCTACGACTCTTCATTACCTTATAGATTATTTGTAAAGCTTGTTTTATAAGCTGCTAAACAAGTCTTCAGTGCATTACATGATCATACTATTATTTATAGCCTTCCTACAAAAAAGATGATCAGTTGCATTAACAAAATTAGACAATAAAATTGTAGGACATTCTTATGTTTTTTATAAGTGTGTATTAAAATGTTATATACCATGTAGAATCACAGTTCCAGGTAATGCGAAGCAATAGCGTTTTTCTATTATAAATAAAATTTAGAAAAGTCATAAATCAGAAAGTTTAGCTAGTTTACCTTAATCTGAGCTCACTTTAATACATTGAAGCACAGTGGCTAAGTGGTTAACACTTTTACCTGACAGCACTAGGGTCATTGGTTTGAATCCCAACCATGACACGACCTGCCTGAGTTTGCATGCTCTCCCTGTGCCTGTGTGGGTTTCATCCCACACTCAAGAGATATGCTGGTAGGGTACTTGGCTCCATTCTAAACTGGGCCTAGTTATGTGTGAATTTGAGTTAGGGACCTAAAATTGAAAGCTCCTTGAGGGACTGATCTGAATGTACAAGAATACATGTAAATTGACAGCGCTATATAAGTACCTGAAATAAATAAGTCATCTTTATGTGCAGCTTCTATTTATTACTTTTATATTAGTATTTTTTTGCATTTTGAATTTGAGGGGAACTGATGAGTAGTATATTTGGAGATTTATCTGCCGCAAAACAAAAGGTACTCGAGATAACCACAAACTGTGTGGGGTTTACTGACACAACATAGCAATGCCTGGAGCACAAACTGAAGAACAAAAATGTAATGTATTGCAGCTTACCATTCCCTAATTTTATTGCGCTAGGCAATCGGGAGCCAGTGAAGGGATTGGCAGAGGGGGTGGCAGATGTAGAGCAGTTGGTGAGGTGGATGAGTCTCGCCGCTGAGTTCAGGATCGACTGGAGTGGGGATAGCGTTCGTTTGGGTAGGCCAGTGAGAAGGGAGTTGCAGTAGTCCAGGCGTGAGATGATGAGGGAGTGTAGGAGTTGTTTATTGGTGTCTGGGGTGAGGAAGGTGTGTATCTTGGAGATGTTGCGGAGGTGGAGCCTGCATGACCTTGATAGTGATTGGACATGAGGTTGGAAGGAAAGGTTTAAGTCCAGGGTAACACCCAGGACTTTGGCATGTGGGGTGGGAGTGATGGTGGCGTTGCTAGTAGTGATGGAGAGGATGGGGGGGTGCTGGCTGGGGGGAAGACCAGGAGCTCGGTTTTAGACAGGTTCAATTTGAGGAAATGGAGCAACATCCAGTCTGATATGTCTTTCAGGAGGTGGGCGGAGAGTGAGGGGGTGAGGGTGGGGGGTGGAGAGGTAAATTTGTGTCGGCATAGAGGTGGTAATTGAAGCCGTGGGAGTGTATTAGTTTGCCAAGGGAGGAGGTGTAGATGGAGAAGAGGAGGGGTCCGAGGACAGAGTCTTGGGGGACTCCGACAGAGAGGGGGAGGAGGCATTGTTAAAGGTGACGCTGAAGGAGCGTTGGGATAGGTAGGAGAAGAACCAGGAGAGAGCAGCGTCCCTGATGCCAAGGGAGTGCAGTTTAGTAAGGAGGAGAGGGTGGTTGACTGTGTCGAAGGCCGCAGAGAGGTCAAGGAGCAGGAGGACTGAGTAATGGCCATTAGCTTTGGCGGTTAGCAGGTCGTTGCTGATTTTAAGTAGGGCGGTTTCGGTGGAGTGTAGGGGACGGAAGCCAGACTGTAGTGGATCAAGGAGGTTGTTATCAGTGAGGTGGGCGCTTAGGCGATTGTAGGCCAGGTGCTCAAGGAGCTTGGAAGTGAATGGTAGCAGGGGAGATGGGTCTAAGGTTGTTTAGGTCAGTGGGGTCAAGGGAGGGTTTTTTGAGTATGGGGGTGATGTGCGCGTGCCTTAGAGGGGAGGGGAGGGGAAAAGTGCCAGTGGAGAGGGAGAGATTGAAGATGTGGGTGAGGAGCGAATGATGGAGGGGGGGGGGGTGACTGGAGGAGCTGTGAGGGGATAGGGTCCAGGGGGCAAGAGGTGAGGTGGGCTTCAGTGAAGACCTTAGAGACCTCCTCAGTGGTAGCTGGGCTGAAGGAGCGGAGCATTGGGGAGGTGGTAGTGTGCAGGGCGTTAGGTATAGTGGGGGGTGTGTAGTGCGGCTATGGGGTCGGAGGAGGGGAGGGTTGAGGGGGTGATGGAGGGAGGGGGGCTAGGTGGAGAGATAGATTGTGAGTTGACAATGTCCTTACGGATTGCGTCAATCTTGTTTTGGAAATGATTGTCAATCTCGTGGGCGGTGAGTGAGGTGCTGAGTGGAGGTGGGGGGGGGGGGGGCAGGGATTTGAAATTGGAGAAGAGCCGGTGAGGACAGGTGGAGAGGGTGTTGATAAGGGTTACAAAATAGGCTTGCTTGGTGGCGTGGAGGGAGGTGGTATAGGTGAGGAAGGCGGCTTTGTAGAGGGAGAACACGCGGGGGGATCTGGTTTTGCGCCATAAGCACTCCAGCTCGCGACTGCGTTGTTTGAGACATTTCGTGTGGTTGTTTTGCCAGGGTTGAAGTGGGGTCGGGGTCTGATGTTACGCGGTTAGGGGTGCCAGGGAGTCGAGGGCAGCCAACAGTGAGTTGTTGTACACAGTAGTGGCCAGGTCAGGGCATGACAGAGGGAGGGATACTGTCGTACAGACGGTCAGCTGCTGGGTGGAGATGGGCCGGGTTCAGGTTGCGGAGTTACGGGTGATGGTTTGACGCTTGGGGGGGGAGTTAATGGGGGGGAGATGGAGAATGTGAGGAGGTGGTGGTCAGAGAGGGGGAAGGGGGGTGTTAGTGAAGTCGTGGGGGGTGCAGAGGTGGGAGAATACGAGGTCCAGGGTGTTACCATTGGTGTGGGTGGAGGACTGTGTGTGCTGTGTGAGCGCGAAGGAGGAGGAGGTGAGGAGAAGGAGTTGGGAAGTAGCCGGGTTGTTGGCATTGATGGGGATGTTGAAGTCTCCAAGGATGATGGTCGGTAGCTCAGAGGAGAGGAAGAAGGGAAGCCAGGCGTTAAAGT